CCGAGCATTCTAACATTTAAAATGGCGGAGAAATCTTTGACACACAGTCAAAGAAAACGAAAAAAAAACAGTTTCGAGAAAAACACAAAACAATTTTTTCTTTGATTATCGCGATTTTTTCGTTTAAAAATGGTAGTGAATAAACAAGAAGGCAGTTTATTATAGGTTATCAACTATGGCGAATCGTATGAGCACATGCAGAGACATTGCGACGTACTTTTTTCCATTTGTAAGCGTTATTCCCACGAAAAAACCATAAAAACTCACTGTTTTATGAAAAAAGGATATTTCAGAAAAACCGCTGTAAAACCGTCAAAAGCCATCGTAAAACTAATAAATTATAGTATATTCGAAAGTAGAGATTATGGGCTATCTAATTATGTATAAAACTCGAAATCGATATTTTTGTCGAAAATTGCTTTTTTTTTTAGGTATGGGGGGGGGGGGGGGGCCTTAACAGAAAATTGTATAAACGATGAACACAGAAAGCAAAATCCATAGAACAACATGACAGGTAGAAGAACAGAAGAAAAGAGGAAAATATCCAATATATATGACAGGAAAGGAAAAGACCATGATGCATGACTAACAGTTAGAAAAAGAAAAAGAACATAAATGCGTATGTATAACTCTATAGATAAAGAGGAACAATCCTTATGACAGCATTGGAAGAAGACACAGGTCGTGAGAAGTGTCCTTTATTGATACCTGAAGGAAAAAAAATGACGTATCATTTCTACAATAATAATAATAGTGACCGATCGAATTTTTATATAATCGAATAAACATTCGTTTTACCTGTACAGAAAAAATATTACATTTGACTAATTAGTATAAACAGAGGGAAAGAAGAATCATACACTCTTTCTATCATCAAATATGAGCTTTTCTTTCTGTTAACTCATGTATTGATAAACACGTGCATTTTTCTTTCCTATTTACATGCTATAGTGATTCGTATTACTTATTAAATATTGATTTCGTTTATTCAGACTTATCATTCAATTTATCTGATCATCAACGACTAGAACTATTATTTTTCATAAACAATGTTGTATCAAACAGATAGAGATCGTGTCAATGTTGTTGAATCATTTACAAACGTCGAGAACAACAATATTCCACAATCAACTCAACCCTTGACATCCAATCCAAGTAGTCCTGATCTAATCAAAGCATTAAAACGAGCACGAATAATCCTCATCATTCTCATTTTGATCCAAATTGTACGTTCTTAATAAAAAAAATAAAAAAAATGATCTACTTTCAACATTTCTATTTAGGTTTTTGTATTGATCTATTTCATTCGAGACTTAATCATACTAATCAGTTATCTTCGCTCTGACGATAAAGATCGTAATAATGTGTATGTTAATAATTACATTGGCACTGTGGTAGCAAGTAAGTAATCGATTTTGTTTTGATATTCATTTTTTTGTTTTATTTTTGTAGGTGCTATTTCACTTATCTTTGAAATGCTTTTTCTTCTTCTGGTTATCAAATATGTTCGCATCGGTATTCTCATTGTGAGTATGATTTTTATGTTCACTTTCTCTGTCATTCATTTTTGTCTCGATAGTTTGCTTGGATTGGCATTCTCCATCTTTTATGTCTTGTCTATCTGGTTATACTACTCATCGTTGCAGTTGCTATAGGTGCATCGATAGAAAACAATGTTGCTGGAGGAATTATTGCATCGATCATTATCATTATTTTAGTTGCTATTGCTAGTATTTTAAGCGTAAGTACTGTCTTATAATTTCATCCTTCCTACATTTGATGATTTATTCCTTGTTACAGGTTCTAACAGTTATCTACGCATTCAAAGTTGCTCGATTGATTAAAGAACAACGGGTCCAACTGATAATCTAACTTAATCTTAGTGTGTATCAAATTGTAGACGAAAAGAAACTAAACTGTTATTTTTATCATTTCTCTCTTTTTGTATTTATTTATTTAATATATTTAACCATCTGACTTTAATGGTCCTAACGGAACTGCTGCCTAATAGCATGTTTATCTGTTAAGATAATATATCTTATCGTTTATTTTTCTTGCTATCCACATAATATATTGCAATTCATACTCATATAGTTTCTCTTTACAAAAAAAAAAAAATGAATATTTATTTTTTTACCTGCAGTGATTGATCTTTCATTTCACTTAGAAAACAATAAAAACAACGAGCAAGAAAATAGTGAACTCAAACTAGACAAGAATCATCCGTAGACGTTCCAAGAAGTTTCTAATATTACATGTTAGTGGTTTCGTTTGTTTTATATAATCAAAATAAATCTTAGAATTTTTCAAATTTCGACATGAAAAATAATTTTTTATATATTAGTCAATAAAATAAAAATATTTTATTATTTTTCAATTATACAGTTCATATTTGTATTTATATCTCTTCTTGTTTTTTTTATTTTTCAAATCGATACTGCTTTCTATTTTCGCCCTACAAATATCAAATGAATAATTTAAATCATCACAAATTTAATATTCTTATTGTCATTTATTTAACTCATTTTCTTGTATTTTCGATATACTTAAACATGTAAATTTGAAGATGAATGACAATGAGAATTGGGCTAAAAAAAAAAACTTCTTAGATGATGAATAATAGTTTCAACATATCGCATCAATATGATTAAATATTATAAAATAAACTTTAACTACAACAAACTTCTTCTTTTGTTATTATTATTATATGGGTGAATCCATGGGAAAAATACCACTTTTTGGAAAAAATCCTCTTTTGGTATTTTTTCATGCTCAATAGCTAGCACCGATTGAGAAAACATATTTGGCCTAAAAAAAGCCGGAACTTGAAAGTGAAAATGTGGAAGATCCAGAGTGTTCTTTCGGTACAACTCATTTTATCATCTATAAAAGGCAGGGAAGTTTTTGAAAATTATCCTCGTCATCAGTTTCGTAGAGCAGCTCACGTTAATGATTTTGATAAAAAAACTTTTCATTTTTTATGAAAAAATAACGAAACTAGAGTAAAAATACTAACAAGTACTGGTATTCTTAAGACGCTTTAGAAATTTTTCCAGTGATGGTCTATTTCAGTACTTGTTACTATTTTGACTCTAGTTTCGTTATTTTTTCATAAAAAATGAAAAGTTTTTTTATAAAAATCATCGACGTGAGCTGCTCTATAAAACTGATGACGTGGATAATTTTCAAAAACTTCTCTGCCTTTTATAGATGATAAAATGAGTTGTACCGAAAGAACACTCTGGATCTTCCACATTTTCACTTTCAAGTCCGGGCTTTTTTTCGGCCAAATATGTTTTCTCAATCGGTGCTAGCTATTGAGCATGAAAAAATACCAAAAGAGAATTTTTTCCAAAAAGTGGTATTTTTTCCATGGATTCACCCATATAGTATACATTCAGCAGTAACATTTAAAATATATCCGAAATGATTAAATAGAAGCTGATAGTTCATTTTAAATTTCCATCAAGATTATTACTTTTTAATGCATTCATTTTTAGAATAAAAAAAAAACAAAATTTAAATAGTCACATTTGTGCCTACTAATAAATACACTTGATTATAAATCTAAATAAAGAACAGTAAGTAATATCATTTTATTTTCATATACTGAAATCTAATAATTAAATGACAAAATAAAACTAATCGATATTATATAATACACTTAAATCTCTACGCTTCAAACGATTTCAGAAGAGTCACTAATGAAGCAACTGTTGAAATAAAGTATTAGTCTGTTAAGTAGGTCATTATAGTAGGAAAAACAAGTAAGAATAAAGAGACACTGTTACTTTAATAATATCATGGCTATCTCTTTTGTTGTACGTCGTATAATTTATTTCGGAGGCAAAACAATCATAAAAATTTTTTTTTTGTCGATTAGTAGCTTAGGGAATTCTCTACACGCAAGGTGTAAGAAGTTTTTTGTTCTGTAATGATTCTAAAAACTTTGAACTTATCATTTGAACAAAGAATTGGAAATCAAAATAAAACATTGAAAAAATAAATCTAAAGACAAATATTTGTTGATGTCTATTTGACAAAGAATTAAACATTCAGAAGCATCTTTTCTTTCCTTGAAAAACTTTTTGCATACAAAAACCAATAGAAGAAAATGGATTTGTGCGTTCTTATTCACATATATGTTCAACGCTAAACAATTACACACCAGAGAAAAATCCACATTCACACCCACACCCTTCAGATCAGAATTCGATCTAGTTTTAAATGACCTACATCTCAAAAGACTTCGTACGATAAGATGATATCAACAATAATCTACTTTAGTACAGATGCAGCACAACCAGTAAAAGATTTTGTGATTTAGTCTTGGACAAAAATAATATAAATATACTTTGCGTTTCAATAAAGATCACCAAATTTCAAACTATTAATATAGATTTGATCCAAAAGTAAATACAAATTCAAGATACTTGGCCACAAATTCCAAATCTATTCTAGGTTGATCACACCTCTACTTCAAACATACACACATATGCGCTTATCAAGAACCTTCAGAAATAAATATTCTCACCCATATTCATACCTCTTGTTATCAAGATTTTTCTGTTCATCAAAATAAATTTCAATTTAGTACAAGTTAAACGATGACATTTTTGGTGTGTATAAGAAAAGTCATCAATTTGATTTACAAAACAAACCATTGGAAAGTTCTCTTTTCACATCTTTTTTGTTTAATCATAACTAAAAATTTAGAAATAGTAGCCATATGAAATATAAATTTATCATAATAATGATTTTATTTAGTTCTTATCGAACTAAATTTTACTGATAGTGAAAATGTCCGATACAACTATAGAAAAAAGAAAATTTTGCTTAGATCAACTAAGTGTTTAATATTGTCCGGCATAGTCAAAGTATCTAATTCGTTAATATTATCAGTTTCTTATTAAAATATCAATTATATATAATTCAATATCACCAATATGCGCCAAGTCTATCAACAGCTGTATTAAGAATTTCTTTATGGCTGCCATATAATACAAGATTGTGATCGATAGGACACCACATAACTTTCGCGGCATCATCACCTTATTAAAAAAAAAGAACAATTAAGATGAATATAAATTTATTTTGTTTTTTTTTTAAAGAAATTTCTACCTGCATTTAAATGAATATGCTTAGTTAATTCACCTGTTTCATCGTGATAATTTCTAAAACGAAATTTAAAACAAAAAAAAACTAAAGTAATTACTTTATCAATTTAACTTACATAGCAACTGTTTCCATCCAAGCATTATCTGTATTTCTTGGATCATCAGCATATGATTCAAATAATTTATATCCATTAGAAAATAATTGATCTACATAATGTTTCTCAGTAGTATCTAGCAGTGCTTCTTCTTGAAATTCACGTTTTATTGTTTGAGATACATGTTCACTAGGATCAACCATACCCTTTTAAAAATTAAATTAACATCAATATTTGAAGATCAAAAGGGAGAGCAATACTAAATACATGTAACGTTCTACTTGTAAAAATAACAATAGTACTTTATGAGTCAGTATATATCTAGAAACCTGTTCTTTCTCTATAAAACATAGTTAAATTCTATAAAAATGAACAAAATCATGAGCACGGAAACGATATTTTGTTTTTTTGTAATTTTCTCAGCGTCTAATGGAATGATGGCATCTAGAGATGTAAGCCGAAGGGCCAAACAGCGGCGGCGCCTTTAACGGTCAATTTTTTTTGTATATCGGCGGCGCCTCCTAGACTTTATGTTTTTGTACACCGGCAGCGGCGGCGTCAATTTTTTATTTTTTCTTCCAAAGCGGCGGCTGCTGCTAGACTTTAGTTTTTCTGCACCGGCGGCGGCTTGGAAAACCAAAAAAAGAAAAAAAACGTCTTTGCATATGTATCGATGTCAACGGCGGCGGCGCCTTATACTATTATCAAAAGTTTTCGTTCATGACGGCGGCGCACCGGCTGAACTTACTTTTTCACATCGGCGGCTCCTAAAAAATTCTTAAAATTATCTACGATTCCGTGGCGGCGGCGGCGGCTTACACCTCTAATGGCATCACATTTTTCCTGTTGATATACTATAGTAGAATCTTTATATGCAATTCGATAATTATGAGAATTGTATTGATCGAGAAAATCAGGACTTTAAACATTTGGTGGAAATCTATTTGATTCATCAGGATGCTTAAAAATTCTTCTAAAATTTCACAATTCAACGGACTCTTTCACATTTAGTTTTAGTTTCATCGGGTCATATTTATTATCCTATGAATTTTCTCCTTTCTACTCCTTTGTTTTCTATTGTATGATGAAAAGAAAAACACATCATTCATTTGGTAATTTTCTACGTGGAAACTACATATTTTTTATATAGAAATAACTTATAAAATATAAAATTATTAAACTTACTCGAGAATCTTTATATCTTGAATATTCATTGGCATATTGATTTGTCAATTTTAAATAGCTTGGAAAGAGAAAATTATTATGGAAATTAGACGCCTAAAATAAGAAATACATTTGATATTCTTTCTTAAAAACTACTTATTTATTTCAAATAAAATGCGGTGCAAAAGTCTTTGCACAAATGTCAAGCTCTCTTAGACAGTCTTGCTAACTTCTAAATCAGTCAAACTCTTTTTGATTGAAAGAACAAAGTCTGAGCTACAAATTTTGTACCAAACATATTTTCACAGAATGGGTCTGAGAAAGAGAAAAAAGCAAAAAGCAAACACCTCTAAAAACATCCTTGTAAGTTCACAATCGAGGAACATCATTTTCCATTAGTTTCTTTTCATCAGAAAGGAAATAAGAAAACACGTTAAACGATGATTTTTCTAGCATAAAGAGTGTTCTTTCCAATGGTATATTGAAAGTTAAATTTACTCTTGGCTCTTGTAGCAAAAGCTGACTTTGTCTGAAAGAGACTAAATAAGTTGATCATTCTTACTACCTACTCGTTTCACAAAGATAAAGAATATTTTTTGAACTATTTCTTTTGTGCAAAACTTCTACTATCTGATATATATCAAATAAATGACGTAAAAAAAGGATTTAGTTCATGCATGATTTCCGAAGATGATGGTTGATTATCTTGCAAAGTCATAGCTTTTGCAAAAGATTCGATTTTCCAAAAAAATTCATGTTTTATACTGGTTTGATTTGATGACTCAAGAACGAATCTAAAACTTTTGTCAATGTTGATATTGGTAGAGTTTTTGATGCAATTTTCGTTTAAGTTAGACAATTGGAGCTGGAAGTAATTAAGAAATACAAAATTTTCAAGTTGCAAGAACCTTTTTAGAGGTATTTGGTTGTTGATTTTTCCTTCTTCTCAGATTCTTTCTGTGAAAATATGTCTGGTACAAAATTTGTAGCTCAGACTTTGCTCTTTTCAACCAAAAAGAGTATGATTGATTCAGAAGTTAGCAAGACGGTCTAAGAGAGCTTGACATTTGTGCAAAGACTTTTGCACCGCATGTTATGCATATCACCTATTATCTCGAATAAATAATATTCGAGAAATCGAAAATTTTGACCTCAAAATTTGTTTTATGACTTTCGGTCGGTATAGAGTGCTACCTCGCAGTAGTTTTATTAGACTAGTATCTTCTCTAATATTAATACTAACTGTAAGTCTAAACTGAAGGTCACTCTGATCCAAACTTCTTGTGCTGCTTCCCACGCACACTGATTAACCATACATTAGTCACGAGCATAGGCGGCGGAGCGTTTTTAAAAACGTCGGATCTCAAATTCAGAGCNAAAATTTTTTTCCTGAACCTCACCTGAATTTTTCTTTCGCTGTTAGCAGTATTCCGGTTTTTAGAATTCCATAGTAATCTACATCGAATTTAATCGATAGATTTCAAATTTCATTAAATAATAGAGATCCGTTCAGAAGTTATAACGTTTTGATTCTTACTCAAAATTGCTAAAAATTTTAGCAAAATTTCAACACGTTATAACTCCTGAATGGATCCATATTATTTAATGAAAATTGAAATCTGTCGATTAAATTCGATGTAGATTACTATGGAATTCTAAAAACCGGAATACTGCTAACAGCGAAAGAAAAATTCAGATGAGGCTCAGAAAAAAAAAATTTTTTTTCCCCAAACTCCAATGGCAAAAATTTTTTGACATTCAACAGATCATTTTACTCCAATACCATTCTCCGTTACGTTTCGCCTGGATCCCATGCTCTGAATTTGAGATCCGACGTTTTTAAAAACGCTCCGCCGCCTATGGTCACGAGGATAGATGTATGATTAGAGTCAACCGAGTTCAAGACTCAACTCAACATACTCTACTAGTGATTCATAACAAACAACGATTATTCATTTGTCCAGAGTTGTTTCAAAGCTAGTGTTACCAAGACTTGAACAAAGTGTCTATTGAATATGTGTCAAATTACGTAGCCTACTCAGCCATGACAGTTCTAAAGAAGACAACAATTGAGTCTTCAAGGTAAAACAAAATTTCTATTATAAATATCAACGAACCGAAACCTTCGATATCGTTCTTTTTACTATCACTATTAAAATTTTACTCTAGTTTAATTTTTCTCTTTATTTCTTTATCGATATTAGTCTTTTAATTTGAATAAAAAAGACATACGTACTGTTCTCGGAGTATATTGTGCGACATTTCTATATCGACAATATTCTTGAAAATTATCTTGTCCATTATTCATATTTATTCCAGGTCGTCTGAATACTTCATTTGAATTTGAAGTTCGATAATTTGTTTGTTCTTCACTGAATGAATAATGTTTATAAGAATGATTATTTACTTGTTGATATTCAGCAGATCGATAGTGAAAATAATTTTGTAATTTTTTTGATTGTGATTGTCGAAGATAAGACCGACTAAGACTAATTGATCGTGATTTGTTATCATTGTCTTCTAATTCAGTGAATTTCTCAGTTTTCGACGAAAAAGAAGTAGATGATTCCCAGTCATCGCGATCCATGGATATATTTATCAATACAATTCACAGTACTAAAATATAATATAGATATTTTTTTATGAAGATCAATAAATAAAATTTATTTCATACTAAATTAAATACAAATCTTACCAATAATTGATTGAGTGTTTTCTTCAATAAATATAATAGTCATTATGAAATTGCTACTATTACTACCTGTATGTTATATACTATGTGTTATTCGGTTTCGATTCGTTTTCTTTTTCATCATTAAGAAACGAACAAAATTAACATTCTACATATGTACACATCTATTAGCATGAAAAAAAAAAGGGTTGAATATATACATATGATACATAGTAAAAAATATTTTTATCCACCTACAAAAATGTGTGCGTATGTAACAGTGTTGATTTGACTTTTTTTCTAATGGAAGGTTTTACTTTTTCTACGTATATGTAAAAGCAAAAAAATAATAATAATAATAATAAGTAACACACAGAATGAATATTTTAATTTAATCGCATTAAAAAACAGAAAAATAGAAAAAGTACAATAATCGATGATATTTGTCGAATGATGATGCCTTGATCAGTTAATGTATTTTTATCAAGAAAATACTTTGCACCAGCACGACAACGCATATCACTATCAGCATTAACTGCACAACCGTATAGACCACCGGGACATTCACGATTAGCAGATTTTTCTATAAAATCCATAAAAAGTGTCAATTGAGCTATGTCAGTAACGATCGATATTGTTGTACAATTAGTTATATGTGTTAATGCACATGTATAATAATCATAAGTATCTTTACACCATTTTGCTTTTTCATAAACAGACCAATGAGCTTCAAAATGAACACGATGTTCAATAATTGGACTACATTCTGTACCAACCTGAATTATTTCAAATAAAATTTTTTGAAAAAACTTCTTTTTTTTTTATTTTAATTACTTTTTCAACATCACATGTTGGCATTTGTGTTGTTGTTGATCGTGATGTTATACTTATTAATGATCCTGATGTTGTTAAACATCGATAATTTATAGTATTTGTTTCTGTAATTCCATTACAATATTTTCCCGTACGCCATGCATTACGTTTAAGTTGTGCATCAATTGATGCTAATGTTGTTGCATATTCAACACGCATATCACAACAATGTAAACGTTCATTAACACAATCTGTATATGTTTTACCAGCATCACAAAAAGCAAATAATTGTTCTTTAGTATATACTTCTGATTTGATTAAATCTTCATCTTCTTTAGTTGGTCCTGGTGGACATTCTGATGCTTTCCAAATTTCACATTCATAACTTGTATAAATAAGAAATAAAAAGATGAATAACTGATATATCATTTTAAATGAATGATCAATAAATGTTAATGATAAAAACAAAAAAATGAATTAGTTTAATTTGTATTTGTAGGTAGGATTAAGATATAAAGATAAACAATCGATCGAAAAAATATATATGGCGTTAAATAAAATAAATTAACGTCTATCATTAAATGTTTATCTGTTGTCTATTGTTCATTAAACAAATGTCGTCATAAGTTTTGATGGCGAAAAAAAAAAAACAATCATTAATCGACTACAATACAATTGATGATGAAAGATTTTTACCAGCTGTGCCCTAAAGAAAATATTTCTTTTTTTTGCGTTTTTCTAAATAGCAGTTGTAATAATTACTCGGTTTAACTATTTTCATTTTTATAAATCTCCTATAAGAGATATCATATTATAATCGTTATTATCTGTTTAGATTTCTCAAAGATGAATATGTAATGGTTCTTTCTGCACAGCATGAAAAAGACAAACAGCATTTATCCAATAGCTGACATTTTAAATTTTGTAGACAAACCTAAATCTGATCTTTAAAAGGAATAAACTAAAAAGTTTCTCTTCTCTCAAGAAAATTTCTTTAAAAGAGTAAAACCCGATCGGATCTCTTACAATTCTGAAATATATTATATATATATTTATTTAGAAGACATGTTGTATTATATAACGATATTGACGAATATTTATTTATTTATTTATTATGTTCCATTTATACAAAAGAAAAAAAAAAAAAACGACCATAAGATGTGAAATAAAAGTGGAAAAAAATGTGTTTATCCTAAACCAGATTGCTTTCAATTTTGTTACTTAGACATTTTGATCAAACAGGCAACAAAAAACAAAACCAATATAGAAAGTATATAAACACAAAATACCAAAAAAAAAAGAAAAAACCTAAATAATATTGACTATAATCTTATAAATACTGTGAAAGCCATCGAAATGCTTCTCCATAACCTTCTCGTCTTAATACACTGCACATAAATACTTCCATTGGACGACCATTAATACTCGAACGAGGAATAATTCCCTAGAATAACAATTATCATTATTAAAATAATGACAGAATTTTCATTTACTTTTCCCGTTGTTGCTGTAGATATACCAAGTATATAACGAAGTTCTTGTTCACTGGCAGCACCCGGTAAGTCAATTTTATTTCCAAGTATAACAATAGGTGCATTAGTAACTTGTTCATCTGTTAATAAACCCTAAAATATTATCATTTAATATGAAAATAGAATAAAAAAACAAAAAAATCGAATACAAACATCAAGTTCGGCTTTTGTTTCAGCAAAACGATTTCGATCAGCTGCATCAACAAGAAAAACAATTGAATCAACAGCTGGAAAATAATCTTTCCATACACGACGAGCTAGAAGAAGAAAAAAAAGAAATATTATAATTTTCATAAGTAAATATTATACAGCTATTATTTCTTTGATGAACTCGAATTTTTTTTTATAGGGACTTAATATCTATAAATAAAAATATGAGAATTGTTCCCGTCGTTTCTCAACTATAGTACATACGATCAAGCAGTTCTTAACGATATGTATTTCGATGAATTCAAAATGATTGAAATTGATTATTTCCGAATGATAGAAATTAATCGGTTGATACTTTTTGTGTTGATCATATGACAATTGTGAAAAATTCTAGAATCTATAAAATGTTGTTAAGCGCCATTAATCGTACAAAGTCCTCGATTTAAACTTCAACTCACTATTATTTTATTCGAATGTGAGGAGATTCAAAAAAAAAAAATTGTTACCTGTATCAAATTTATTATGGTTGAGAAAGGAAGCTTAAATTACCTTGAATATGGCCACCTAAATCAAATGTTGTAAATTTCATGTTCCCAATAACTAATTCTTCTGAAGCTATAAGCAAAAAATTTCGTATATTAAAGCAAAATAAAATCTTTTCATACTCGGATGTAGAGTTGGTACATGTTGAGCAAGTCGATCATCTTTTAACATATGTAATAGAGTTGTCTAATAGATAAAGATAAAAAAAAAAAAAAGATTTATTAAATAAAAAAGATCTTTTACTTTTCCAGCATTATCAAGACCAAGAAATACAAGTTTACCACTTTTTTTATGTAAACCTATTTGAATATATATTTAAAATATATTTAAAATTATAATTTAGAATATATACCAAGTGTTGATAAAATACTAGTAAACCAATCCCATAAAAAACTCATATTCGTTTTTAACTAATAATTCTCAATAGTAGACACGTATTGAAAGAATTGTTTTTTGGTTTATTCTTGTACCAATCAATATATATTTATTGTTTGTCATAAGCGACATCTCTCTAATAGTTGATTTGTCTAAAAATTCAATCGATTCAGTTAGGGAATTGAAAATGAAAAGAATATTTCATTTGTGAATTAAATAAATAATGGCTAGTTATTATTTTTTATTCTTAATATTATTTTATTATTCATTAAATGTAATTGTATTTGCATCATTGGGTGATAATCATTATTTATATCGAGCATGTTTAAATCATTGTAAACAAATGAATTGTAGTACATCATTAGGTTTACGAGATTTTCAAGACAAACAAACATTTTTTGAATATATTTTTCAATGGTCATGTCAAGATGAATGTTCATATGAATGTATGTGGAAAACTGTTAATGATATGGAAAAAAATGACCAAGATATTGAACAATTTCATGGTAATAATGTTCTTCAATATGAGATGATTGAGAAAAATCTATGTACTCTCCCTCGGACAAAAAAAAACGGCCTTTTTCCATTTCATTTTTGCACCACTTAATACGTTGTTTTAAACAAACAAAATATACCAGGAGACGCAGCGTCAAAAGAACTACAATTTACAAAGTAAATACTATTTTAATTCTGTACTTTTTGTTTTCAAAAAAAGCAAAATTGTGTGCGACCAATTTTCGACGCTGTGAAAGGATTATTTTTCTATACCAATGAAAAATTCCTTTCTTCTTATTTCAATAAATTGTTCTGCGTAAATTGTAGAGCTTTTCACGTTGCATATTGTGGTACATTTTATTTGATTTTTTTTTACAAAAGCAGATTAGGTGATAAAAAGATGAGATCAGAAAAAATGATTTTTTCCCAGCGTCGAAAATTGGTCGCACACACTTTCGCTTCTTTTGAAAACAAAAAGTACAAAATTGAAATAAGTTTTACTTTGCACATTGTAGTTCTTTTCACGCTGCATCTCCTGATATATTTTGTTTTTCTAAAACAACTTATTAAGTGATGCAAAAATGAAATGGATTCTTTTGTCCGAGGGAGACTATCCTCCCAATCTCATCATAAAATCAATAAGCTTCGATGCATTCGAGACAGAGATGAGCACAGGACAACATCTTCCATCCGGTCCTGTTCTGTCCTGTGTAACCCCATCCTGCCGCTCAGCAGGGCAGGACCGGAATTTTAGTTTCATCCTGCCCTGGTCACCGCACCGTGTAATCCTATCCTGCCGCTCAGCAGGACAGGACAGGATACAGGACGGCCGCACCGCCCCGTCCTGTGCTCATCTCTGATTCGAGAGTAGACATATTTCACTTTTCTGAAGGGACTTAATGCTAAATTATAAGACATAATTTTCTTTTTATTTCTAAATGATATTGTAGAGCAAATGAAAATTCAGATCATTGATTTTTTTTAGAATATCTTACGTTGAACATGAAACGAAATAAAAAATATTCGAAGTCACAAAAATAAAGAATTTTTTCTTATTCTTATTATAGTGAAGTCTTCATTTACATTGTGAACATATAGTTTGAGATCATTACTAGATATATAATTTTAGGTAAATGGCCATTTATACGTTTTCTTGGTATACAAGAACCTGCATCAACATTATTTTCAATTTTAAATTTACTATCAAATTATATATTTGGTTATCAAGTACTTCGTCGTCATCTTCAATATAATGTTCATCCACTTTATTCAATGTGGATGATATTTTGTTTAATATCAATGAATGGATGGATATGGTCAACAATATTTCATACACGTGATAAACCATTAACAGAAATATTTGATTATATTGGTGCTATTTCACTTGTTTTTTCACAATTTGCATGTTGTATTATTCGTGTTGGTTATCGAACAAATTATATGCGTTTAGCAAAAGTTGCATCCTTATTTTTATTACTGTTTTTTGTTTATCATGCTTATTATTTACTTTTTATTAAAATGGATTATGGTTATAATATGAAAGTTAATATTATTGTTGGTGTTTTAAATGTAATATGTTGGCTTTTATGGAGTATAATTAATCTTCTTTCTGGAAAAGTTTATGTTTGGCGATGTGCAGTATCAGTTATATTAGCAATGCTCTTTGCTACTTTAGAATTAGCTGATTTTGTACCTATTGCTTGGATAATTGATGCACATTCATTATGGCATTTTTCGACTATTTTTTTACCTATTCTATGGTATCGTTTTATTGTTGATGATTCAAGATATTTACTTCGTTATTTCAATTGATTAATTTTGTTTTTTAATAACAAGCCAGATATAATATTAAACGTGATATTTGACAAAAAACCAATTAGGTTGTTTTTTTTTGTATTTATCAATAGCGAAAGGAAAAAAATTTTGCATTGATTTATTCAATTATAAATTTAGGTAGTTACGAAATTTTTAATATATTTCAAAGAATATTGGTATTACATGTACGCACTATAAAATATAAAAATTTCTATCAAAAAAACCATCATAGATCAATTGGTGTCGAGCATGACAATTACGAGGTGAAATGACTAGAAAAATAAGCATAATTATAGATGTTTTGACAGTTTATTAGTGATGATTCTTTGTCGAAGAAACCTATATGTCATACTAAGAGTGCAAAGAACTAGTGAGAAGTCAGTGAATAACTTTCATTGAACACAAATATCGGAAGCGGTTATTGGTGTCTGATAGACATTAAAAATTTTACTTTTCTTCATCAATCAGTTGTTATCTTTGTAACAAATATAAATTTGAAAAGCTTATCAAGAATAAAAAAACATTTGTTTAGTAGCTAGCATACTTACCTTTGTGCACAGTAATATCTATTCTTTGTTTCACGTTTTGATACTGCTGCAAAGAATGTATATGTTCGATATACGAATATGTTTTGAATCAACATAATCTCAATGTTGTATGAAACTTAATTGTTGCTGTTTTCATTTTTTAATTAATGATACAATATCTGTTGAACAAATATTTATTCCATATGAAATACAACAATGGTTTGATCATTTCGTTTGCGTTGAGTATTTAAAAAGATTTAAAAGATCTTAATCTGTATTTATTTGACGATCGTAAAAAAGTCATGAACTAACTTCAAGGCATCGAGCAATCGTCTTTACGAATATATTGCGAATTCGGAATGCATTATATTTTCTCAGTTTCATTTTCACTAATTTATTCAACAATATGTGATAGGTTCGTTGATACATGCTGCACAGGACAACTTACGATTGCTATTCAGAATCACTATCACCATATAATCAAGTCAAATATTGACTAGGTACAAGAAATATTTAGTCGCCTATTTCAAGTAGTGTTTTGTGAAGCATGATTGAAAATTTTTTAGATTATGTACTTCTTGTGATAAACAAACAAGATCAGTCACGATCTTTTGGAGTGCGAATTTCTACTCTATATGCTTTAATACTCCTTTTAGATTGTATTTTGGGTGTGGGTGTACGTCACTCTAAAGAGAATACACACCCACATCCTCAACGTTCAATTTTCAAGTAAACTCAATATTTTGACAAATGAGTAGAGACCTGCGGAGTCAACTTTTTTCATTCCGAAACCCGACTCCGACTCCGAAAAATTTCTTTCTTCCGACTCCGATTCCGAAATCTTTCTTTTTATGACTCCGATTCCGAGAATTTTTATTTTTTGACTCCGATTCCGACTCCGAAAAACTCCGAAATTTTTTAACAATGTCATTTAAAAATAAAACGTTCTCAGCAGCCAAAGGACTCTTTAATGACTTAACATGCGCACGTTTTACGCTAAAAATCTCAAGTTTCTCTTTAAAAAAAACCAGTTTATGGATGTTATCATCTTCAAAGTCGCTTTTTCCCCTCAAAAAAAACCTTTTTGAATGTGTAAAAAATCCACAGTTTTGCTCCTAAAAACGCGTTTCTGTTACTGATTTTATCGGCCTTGGATGTTCTTCGTCTAAACAAGGAAGAACTAAAAATGAAGATAGTCGTAGTACTTTGAATGATATTAATATATCTTTTTTGACTAATGTTGTTATGTTTTCATCTCACTTGATCATTCGAGTGTTATAACTGGAAAGTGATTCGCTCATCTTTCTGTCCTACAAGTGATATAAATCTGTGTGACAGATATTACGCTTTATTTTTCTATTTACTAATGTTAAAAATTAAGTTTTGGTAAATCGAAAAAAAAATATCGGGGTCGAACTTGTAACTGACTCCGACTCCGTTGGAGTCGGAATCGGGTTTCGGAGTCCTCCGCAGGTCTCTACTTGAAAGTTGCAGTTTTTACTATTCAAGAGAAAAGATCTGATATTATCGAAGTATACAAAAATTTAATTCATCAGCAATTGATCAATCATAAGAGGCTTTGGTAACGATTTTCGAAAACGATATTTTTGAAGTTATTGCTTTTGCAATTTAGACTTTTAATAAGATTAATCGATAGAAAACGTTCTTGTCTTTCGTCCTACGCAAGACGAAGATTCCTAATCTGATCTGCTTGAGAGTTATAAGACTTTTCTTGAGGCTCTCGATTTGCGCCAATTAATTTGAAGTTTTGCCATCGTCTGACTTTGTTATTTCAATATTGCTGAATTTCTACAACCAGCCTCCATGTAATGAAGCAAGCGACATTTTGGCAATATTGACACAACAAGGTCAGATTATTTTAGAAATTAAAAACATATATCATCATTCAACTTCGCATGGAAAATTATCTCTATCTAGCTGCTACTGCGGATGATTATAAATCAATTGACTGAAGTCTGGGGTCTCAGAAAAAGTCTTATAACTTTTGAATGAAACTACCTAAGAATGTCGGCCTTGTGTAGATCGTCAAAGAAGAATTTTCTCTATCGATTAGTCTTAATAAAAGTTTAAATTAATAAGGAAATATTTTTAGAATATCGTTTTCGAAATTCTCCACCAATAACTAATTCGATTATTCAATTGTTGATTAATTGAATTTCAATGGCTCCAAATCTTTTCTTCTGAAAAGTAAAAATCACAGACCTCTATGATGTTCGTGTCGAAAGTTATTCAAACAAATTCGTAGAGTACATTTCATTTTAAAATGAATAGTAGAATTCTCACATCTACACTCTATTAATATGTATGGTCTTCTCTTTTAGTAATTTGTAAAAATACAAAACAAATTTCATTGATTGCTAGTAAATTTGCCATGAGTCATTACTAAGACATTTGTCATGGTAGGTGAGACTCTCCATATATTTCAACAATCCATTTACTTCATATTTAATAAAAATATGTACGATATTTTAACTCGAATGTAAACTAATTTGGTACTATGTTACACATATAATAAATATTCGAAAAAACATTCTTAATCCACCTTTATCATTTCATTTAAAACTTTTTCATTATATTCATATGAAAAAATATATTTAATAATTTATTGTTGTTGTGTTTTTTTTTTAAATAGACGATATAAATTTCTACCACCATTCTATCAAGCCGAACGTCCAGTAACTAATTTAGCATTTGCTGAAGGAATAAAACCACATAATGATGTAATACTTTATGCAACAACTGAATCAACTGTTCTTTCATTTCGTCTTATACAAACAACATCATCTAGTATATCAACAGCTGCTGCTGTTGCTGCATCCGTATCATCTAGTATAACATCAACATTACGTGATCGTCGACCATTTCATTTAACACAACATCATCAACCACAACAAGCACAATTTAATATAGCAATACTTGAAACACAAATTGGTTGTAAACCCGGTTGTGCTGTTTTAGCTCAATCAGAATTTGATGGTGAACAACAATTTGTTATTGCAAATTCTACAGGTGTTTTTTCATATGTGGGCGATGATAAACGTCTTGGTTTAGGTATTGATGGTGAAAAATTATCTGTACATTGGTGGTTTAATTATTTAATAACAGTTACAAAAGAAAATCAAAAAACATCTTTAGTTACATCAACGACAACAGATACAACTAAACCACAATCAAATATTTTATCACAATTAACAGCCCAGTAAAAATTTTTAATTAATTATTTTTTTTTTTAAAAAAAAAGAATTTTTACTTATTTAGTCAAACAACAACTGAATTACAAACATTAGCTGTTTATGATACAAATCCTCAATTAACAGCTTATTCAGTTGGTATACCACGTATACAATGTGTTGTTAATGAATGGGGTTATATACATATATTAACTGGTGATGGAGAATTACATCGTTTAATTGAAAAAGATTTACATTCAAGATTACATTTACTTTTTAGAAAAAATTGCTATCAATTAGCATTACAGTTCGTCAATTCATTATGAAATATTAATATCTATAAAATTTTTTTTTTTTTTCTTTTATTTAGATTAGCAAAAAAGAATCGAACTAGTAAACAAGGTATGGCAGAAATTTTTAAACAATTCGGTGATCATCTCTATGTGTAAGTTAAATTATCTACAAGCTTTTTAATAAATTCTTATAGAAAGAAAAACAAATAATATATTCGAGTTGTCTCATGAGAAAATATTCCCAAATAATACTCTCTATTCGAGTTCATAGTTTTCCCATACGTAGGACGTTGTGAGACTAGAAGAATCCTAAAAGGCTTCAATTCATTAGTGGTATGACCAGCTGTCAGTCGCTCATATATGGCGAGGGTTCGAACTTAAAAGTAATGAATCAAGATAAGATGTTCAAAAAGACATTTCTATTTTTCATGAAATATCCTAAAGAAATTCGCTTATTGTACATTTAAGCGTTTCGCAATGTTTTTTTTTTGTTCATAAGTATACATATACTTGGAATTAGTATTGAATTTTGAACAAAATGGAATATTTAGTTAATCAAAAATTCAACTTTTATTTTTCTTAGGTTGAAAAATATTTCATTTTATGTAGAATCTGATGCTTGTACTAATGAATATTCAGTTACTTTTAACTTTCTTTCATCCTAGTCCTAACTGTGATTTTCGGAAAGAGGGTCTAATTCAGTAACGAACACTATTTTTTAGTTTGTTAAACAATAATCTGACATTCTGAAAGCTTGTTAAAAATCTCAGTAACTTATTATCCATTTCTGAAAATAAGTCGCTTGGGCAGAATTCTTATAACTTTTGAAGGGAAAGGCATAGAGAGCTGCGGTTTTCACCGTTGGATAGAGAACATCAGGACACATAAGTCTATGTAAAAACCGATGGGTTAATCCATAAAAATACTCGTTATCTGCGTCATCAAATTTGGATGAAAATGACATAAAATATGCCTATTCTTGAGATTTAACCTCAGTATACAACTGATTCACACATCAGATATACAGTAGACAGTGCCTCTGCATCATTTGAACTCAACC